ATTGCGATTAAAGTGCATCAATGACCTTGACCTCTTGGTCAATGGTTAATTGCGATTAAAGTGCATCAATGACCTTGACCTCTTGGTCAATGGTTCAAGCTGCAACTGCAGCATTATTGTAACTATTGTTTCCTTTCCTCCAAATTTCCACTGTTCATAAAAGAAAAAATTACAATTACTCATTTTTGGATTTTGGTTGCCACGAACGCTGCACTCAAACACTGGTTGAAATGGCCCTTACTAAAGGGAATATTTGCACAGGTTGGGAAATTTAGGGGCTTATCCGTTTAAAAAATAGTCTTAGAGTTTATGAGGTAATTTGGGGGAAGTTCAAGAGTTTAATACTCCATCTTTTCTTAAATTATTGTATTTTTTATTAAAAAAAATAATGGTCGTTTTTTTATTTTTCTCTTAAATTAATGATTTAGAAACAATATTTACATTTATTTGTAATATCTTGAAAGAAGACTTAAAAGATAAAGATAGACAATTTTTGATAGGATGATTAATTAAAATAAATAAATAATAATAAAGTTAAAGTAAAAAAAATTATCTATCTTAAAAAAAAAAACCAACAATTAATGTAAAATAATCTCAAAATTAAAAATGACAATTATTTTGGGATAGATTGAATACGAGTCTTGTCATTGAGTTACATAATACATTAAATAAATAATTAAAGACCCTTTTTTTTTCTTATTACTACGTTAGCCCAAAAATAACTATTGGTTTTCTTACTTTCTATTCAAATTAAAAATTTAGATATAATTTATATATTTACTTATATTACTTTTATATATCATAAGATAAAGTGAAACTTTTTATAATAGAATAATTAATTAAAATCAATAGATAATAACAAAGTTAAAATAAGAAAAACATATTTATTTACCTTAAAAAATTAAAAAATAACAATTAATTGAGACAACCTTAAAGCCAAGAAACCAGAGTTATAATAATTAAAGTAAAAAGATAATGATATTATTAAAATAAGAAAAAAATATTTATTTATCTTAAAAATAAAAAATCAGAATTAATTTAAAACATTTAAAATTGAAAAATGACAATTAATTAAAAATAAAAAGAGTAATTAATAAAAATATAATATTTTATAATTTAATTAATTTAGATAATACTAAATTATAAAACAGAAATCTCTAAATAAAAAAATCTTTAATATTCAAAGATTAATTTTTTTTTCTAAAAATTTATATTTTATAATATAATATATTTTAAGTAGCAAAACACTTCTCTGATTTAGCAATGATTTGTAGTTTGAACCCTTAAGAAAATCGATTAATAATTGAGAATTTTAAATTTTAAATTCAAATATTAAATCAAAAAGAAAGGGATGATTTAAGAAAATAAAAGAGCCATGTATCATATTCAAATAGGGTAGTGTTATAAAGATAATTTTTTTTTTT